ACTGAAGCATAAATCTCAATTGGATTCTCTGTGTGGGGTGCAGTACTCATTAAGATAGTGGGTGAGTGTAGCCAACTCCTTACGATTTTCATCTCAAAGATTTTTGTCTACTTGCTATCATTTATGTAGTAATTTTCATTTATGAGCCAGAGGTTACCTATATTTTCAATTACATTTTATTTAAACTATTTTTATTCAATCATATTATATTCTATGGGAGGAATTATATATTAAAATGATATTTCACAAACTTAGTGATACCTGAAAATCTCATTCATTAATGGACACACATGCACACACACATGGAATCTGTTGGTCATATGATTCTGAAGAAACAGCAAGAGTGTGACAAGTTCAAAGTGGGTAAAAAAAGTAGCTAGGGATAAATGTTCAAGGATCAAAAAGGAAGTGCAGATTGGAAGAGATGAAAGGAGAATGCAGAAGCTTGTTGAAGTTTAAATGAAATGAATAAAATTATAAAAGAGGTTCTTAGATTCATTTAACAAATTAAGTATTACATTAAGAGCTAGGGAATATAGAAAAGAATCACACAACATCCTTCTCACTGCTGTGAACAAATTCACTTTCTGGTAGAGAAGACATATGAGTTAAAAATTGCTCTATAGTGTAGTGGATAGTATGATAGAGGTAAGGATAGGGTGTCATGGAAGTGCAAAAGAAGAGTATCTAAACCAAATTGTGGTGGTCAGGTAAAGTTTCTTGGAGCAGATCCTGTGCTGAGCCTTAGAGCATAAATATAAGTTAACTTAATGAATATGTGAGACAGAATTTTCCAGGCAGGGTTGAGGAACAACATATGGAAGGTCATGGAGTGGAGGACATTGCAGAATGCCATTAAATACTTAAAAAAGTTAATATAATGTTTTGAAACTTGTGATTTAAAGATACATCAGTGTGAAGTGTAGTCTGACTGATGGCCAGAAAATGAGTTGAGATGCTACTATTGTAATCCAGAGGAAAAATAATAAATAGGTGAATAAATAGGCATTGGCAATGGGGAGGTTGTGAAGGGGTTACATTTGACAGTTATATGAGATAAAATTCAAGAAAGTGGAATTTATCTTGTTGAATTCTCTTAAGTCCAAAATCTGGACTTCAGTTTTTAGGCTCAGAAACCTGGTTTTGGCTCTTTACTGAGATAGAATATATAATTCAAACTAATATTAAAAAGGGGTCAGAGGCTGATGTAAAACCAGAATGCTAGATTATTATTTGCAATGAAATAGATTAACTGTCATAATAATGATAATATTTGCTTTGGCATGAAGTTCAGACATTTTCTCCTTGTAAAAAGATACACATAAGAAATGAGACATAATCAGAAAGAAAGTTGCTTGACGAACTTGGAATTTGAGGTAGGGAAATTAAATTGGATGTTTCAAAGGTTTAATAGCATCAGGCCATAGATAGGAGATAGGAATATCCAACTTGGTTGGCTACATTCTTTTCCTGGGACAGCTACAGCCGCAGTATGCCTTTCAACGTCCTGTTTCTATGTTGCTACTGCTAACCAACAGTTCTTCAATGAATATTCTTGAGATAACTATCTTTTTTTTTTTTAAATATTTAATTTATTTATTTGACAGGGACACACCGAGAGAGAGAACACAGCGCGGGGAGTGGGAGAGGGAGAAGCAGGCTTCCCGCTGAGCAGGGAGCCTGATGTGGGGCTTGATCCCAGAACTCCAGGACCATGACCCGAGCTGAAGGCAGCCGCTTAACTGACTGAGCCACCCAGGCGCCCCTTGAGATAAATATCTTTAGTCAAGTCTTAATTTGTCCAGATTTCCTTTTTAAGGTTATTTTTGATAACTTTGCCTTGATATATATTCATGTTTCAATTTAATTCTCAGTCATAAGTCTAATTTCCTTTATTTCTCTAAGATGGTGGAGTAACAACTGACCTCTCTGTTACTATTTACTTTCTACAAACTCCAGGTGAAAGTTGAAAGACAGTGAGATAGAGCGGGAAATGGGTAGGATCCAAACAAAATGTGGTTTACAAAGAGAAGGCTCCTAAACGTGCCTGGCTGGCTCAATAGATAACAGCATGCAACTCTTGATCTCAGGGCTGTGAGTTAAGCCCACGTAGGCTGTAGAGATACTTAAAACAAAACAAAACAAAAACCCAAAACAACAACAACAAATAAAGATTCTTAAGGGCAATTAACCCTACCATAGGCTGAATATGTAAAATTCATCACTTAAATGAATCAAATCCTGACATTTTACCACTGAGCCATCTGAAGAGATTGTCTTTCATATAGTCATTTAGCCAGAATCCTTGTCAGAATATACTTTATTTATATTAACACATCTATCATTTACTTAATACCCACAATGTTCTGGTACCAGGAACTATGGGGAAAGTGGAAATTACCAACATATAATCCCTATTCTTACTGAGCTCACTATTTAGAAGGGCAGACAGACACATAAAAAAGTAATTACACAACAGTGGGATAATAGAAATAGCTTCAGTTGGAGCACAGAGGAAACAGTAATCACTTCTGCTTGGGAAAAGACAGAATGGGGACAGTAAAGAGTTATGTCACAAAGGACATAATGCCTGTGTGTTGACTCATTATTACCAAAGTTAAACTTGGCAACTGGTTTATTGGAAAGATCTAATTGAATGGATACCTCCACACAGCAGAGGGATTTAAACCAGAACTACTAACACTGATCATAAAACACCTCAAATTGTTCTAGCTTTTTCTAAAGTAATGAAGAGATCCTAAAAATTAAATCTATTAAAATTTACTGTTTAGTTTATTAAAAGCAATAGAAACAAGTTTGATAAGGGGTACTGTAATATCAAAATCATAGATACAGGATATCACAGTTGCAAAAATGATGGGAATCCATGACACCTTATTTTCTTCATTTTCTAATTTAATCTTTAGTCTATTAAATGTTCACTTAGTACCTACTATGTGCATTTTGCAATATATATAAAATCATCATGTTGTAGCTCTTAAACTTACACAATATTATATGTCAATTATATCCCCTCAAAGCTGGGAACAAAAAAACAAACCAACAAAACCCTACCAGTACATGTTACAATGAGATATAAAAATGAAGACAGTGAATGGGGAAAGGAATTAGATCTAATGGTACAAATAAATATAATGCAAATAGTCATTGCCTTAAGGGAACTTGGAGGAGGGGATAGTAAACAAAATACCAAAATGGTTCGGAGGGAAGATAGTTCTTCTTGTTAGAGAAGTCAAGAAGGGTTTAATGGGGAAGATGATATTTGATCTGTGTTTTACAACAGCAGTGTAAATCTTGGTGAAGAATAAATCCAAATATTTTTTTCCATGATAATCGAATAACCTTTTTAAATAAAGATAGGTGTGTAAAGGAAAAACTTCAGCTTTTCTCCTTCCTGTGTAGAGAAAACGCAGTCTTCTCTACTGTCTCTCCTTTGAGTCTCCTTTACTACTCACACAGAACACTTCACCTGACACTTTTGGTCACCAAATGTATGAGGTGGGTGGGGGGGGGCTTACAATAATCAAGTCTCTGACAACACCAGCTGGGTATCCTATAATAACTGAGATAGTATCAGATCTCAAGGTAAGGTACAGCCTTACAAGACTCCCCCACTCCCCAATTTCAGACATTAAACTGTAAGTTGTGCTTCTCACCAACCAGCTGTAGATCAGAGTTTCCAATGACCTTCTTCTCAGTTTCAAATAATTTTCTAGAGCAGCTCACTCAGGGAAACATTTATCAGTTTATTAAAAGCCATGACAGAGGATGCAGATGAACAGCCAGATAAAGAGATACAGAGGGCGAGGTCTTAGAGCCTGTGAGCATCTGAGAGTCTGAGAGCAGGAGCATCCACCAGAGTGAATAAATAAAATATTAAAAAAAAAAAAACAGAAAGCAGGGACTTGGGGTGCCTGGGTGGCTCAGTCAGTAAAGTGGCTGCCTTCAGCTCAGGTCATGATCTCAGGGTCCTGGGATCAAGTTCCACATCGAGCTCGCAGCTCAGTGGAAAGCCTGCTTCTCCCTCTGCTTGCTGCTCTGCCTACTTGTGCTATCTCTCTGTCAAATAAATAAATAAAATCTAAAAAAAAAAAACAAAAAAAACACACCTCATTGAAAAAGAAAGCAGGGACTTGAAGAGGTATTTGTATAACCATGTTCATGGCAGCACTATTCATAAAAACAAGGAACAGAAGAAACCCAAATGTCCAACAACATATGAATGGTAAACAAAATGTCTTATATATACATACACTGTAATATTCAGTCTTAAAAAGGATATTATGACACATGCTACATCATAGATGAACACTGAGAACATTATGTTGAGTGAAATAAGCTAGTCACAGAAAAGATATACTATATGATTCCACTTATATGAGGCACCTCTAGTAGTCAAATTCATAGAGACAAAAAGAAAAATGGTAATTGCCAAGAACAAGGGGTTGGAGGAATGGTGAGTTAGTGCTTAATGGGTACAGAGTTTCAGTTTAATAAGATGAAAAGAGTTCTGAGATGAATCGTGGTAGTGGTTGCCCAACAATGTAAATGGACTTAATGACACTGAACTGTACACTTAAAAATGGTTAAGATGCTAATATTCTAGGGGTGCCTGGGTGGCTCAATTCAGCTAAGGTCATGATCCTGGGCTCTCTACTCAGTGGTGAGCCTGCTTCTCCCTCTCCCTCTGCCTGCCGCTCCCCCTACTTGAGTGTCTCTCCCTCTGTCAAATAAATAAGAAAAATCTTTGGAAAAAAAAAGATGGTAATATTACATGTGTTTTACCAATTCTATTTTTTTATATTAAAGAAAATTTTAAACCTTTAAAACTTTAAAACTTTAAACCTATTTTAAAGAAAATTTTAAACATCAATGTTTGCGTGTTTCTTGTTGCCTCTTTTATTCTGTGAGGCCCATTTTTTCCTCTGTCTAGGGCTTTGAACTCAACCTTCCTCACTGACCTTTGTTTCCAGTGTCACCTTTTTCTGGGCCTGGAACTCCTTGAGTCCCTCAACATTCACCTTTGCCCAGATTATGGTTTGTTTCCCTTTTCTTTGAGCTCTTGTCAGCCTTTTTTTTTTTTTTTTTTTTAATCCAGTCTTGTTCCTAAGACCCCCAGCATGGGCCAGTCTCACTTCTAAAGAAAGACCTCAGAAATAAAGCACACAATTCTAGAATACAGACTATCTGTATTCCAGGTATAACTATGAACTTAATGCTGTTTAATATAAATTAAGAAATCACATTTATGGAGAATTGTTTGAAGGATATACTGTTTAGCCACTGCTTGGAATCAGTTTGTTTGCTTGTTTTCGTTTTCTTTTCTAAGTTTATTTTTTTAGTAATCTCTACACCCAACATGGGGCTTACAACCCCAAGATCAATAGTCATATGCTCTGCCTACTGAGCCAGCCAGGACCCTGCCTGTTTTTGTTTTCTGAGCCAAGGCTCAATAAAGGAGCTCTAGAAACTTTGTGAACCTCCTGAAATTGTCTGTAAAAACCTCTGTGATTTTAAAAGTTCTCAATATTATTTATTCCCCCCAGAAAAAGAGTTAAGTATTTCTATATATATTCTAAAATTTGTTATTCCTTGAATTGAAACAGATCATCAAAGCCTTACCTCAACTGGAATATTCTGCCCCAAGCTCAGAATGGGTTTCACCAAACAATGCTTTGGCACTATGCCAAAAACTTACATGGAAGGACATTAAAAGGAAACAGTCTCAACTCTAAAAATCTGTTTAGGGAACTACCATAAAAACAAAGAGAGCAAAACAAAGATGGGCACAGATCTGCCTGGATATCTCAAGATTTTAACCAGATAATATGTCTATAAAGGCAGAAATACGCTGATGCTATCATTAGACAAGAAGAGATTATGAACAAGGCCAAGGAAAATGAAATTCCTTATGTAAGAACTGAGCCAAATGTAATAGCAGCACTAAAGGTTTTTCCTTTAGTGGGATCTGGAGAGCTACCAATGCAGATAATAATGGCAATTTTCAGATAAATGTATATAACATTTACATATACATTGAGTATACCTAAGTTAAAGAAAGGTTCAAACTACAAAATATATCATGTGAAATTTTTAACAATTCTCCCTTTCCAATTTCAGGATAATTCTCTTTAATGTAACTCTCACATTCCTTGATTTAGCTAAAATCCACCTACCCATTCTTCAAAGCTCAGCTTTAAATATATATATAAATATATGTTTTATATATATATTTTTAATTATATATTATATATAAAAATAAATGTAATTAAATTTTTAAAATTTTTATATATATATATATATATACATATATATTTGGGGGGGCTCCAATGTATTTTGGCTCCACACCCAGTGAAGGACTTGAACTCATGACCCAATGATTAAGAATCTCATACTTTACTGACTGAGCCAGCTAGGTGCCCAGTCAGCTTTTAAAATTATGAGAACGAATACAGTTCAAGTCGAATTCCTTTTGTTTCACTAAACCGAAAACCACCCTCTCTCCTTACACACGTGCATAGCTTTTTTTTTTTTTTTAAGATTTTATTTATTTGAGATCACAGGTAGGCAGAGAGGCCAGCAGAGAGAGAGGAAGGGAAGCAGGCTCCCTGCTGAGAAGAGAGCCTGATGCTGGGCTTGATCCCAGGACTCTGGAATCAGGACCTGAGTTGAAGGCAGAGGGTTAACCCACTGAGCCACCCAGGCGCCCCACATGCATAGCTCTTTTACTCTTTTTAAAATTTTTCATAAGCATATCCACAAAGAACTATGACAAAAAGTTTTCCTTTTGTTGGAGGGAACCCCCTCAAATAGTAACAGTCATTTAGTTGGAATTATGTAGAGAGTTTAGTTCCACACATTGGTAGCAAGTCTAAGCTTTCTCCAACAGCCACAACAGAAACTGACTAATATTGAGGCCAACTGTGATACTAAGGATGCAAAGTATATGGTCTGGGACTGGAGAAATGAGTTATTAATTTAGATGTCTATAGAAAGGGAAATTCAATAAGACCCTTTTGATGGTCTTATCTTAAGCTCACATGGAAAAAAGATGTCGAGTGTTCAAATCGTGATTCATCTTACTATAATATCAATAATTACAATTAAATCAATGAGCACAGTGAAAGTTTCTGTTGGACTACTCCTATTTCCCTTTGAGAGTTCACAGATGAGAAACATTTACTCACCTTTACCTCTTGCTAAAGATACTTAAACCATGGTTATCACAGCAGACTCTGGCTTTCTGTTTAAACACCTTCAAAAGTAAATCATGCATCTGCCTCAGGTCTTTAGGTTGAACATTCTTCTCACTGCCCTCTAAGAAAAACACTCAGGGGTGCCTGGGTGGCTCAGTCATTAAGTGTCTGCCCTAGTCAGGCTCCCAGCTCAGCGGGGAGACTGCTTCTCCCTCTCCAATTCCCCCTGCTTGTGTTCCATCTCTAGACTCTCTCTTCAAATAAATAAATAAAATCTTCCAAAATAATGTAATTTAAAAATTAAAAAAAAACACTTAAACATTACTGTCTATGTGAATTAATGGGAACTAGTGTCATCAGTGGTTCTAGCCAAAGACTTTCTACAATAGTCTCAAGTTCAATTTTTAATTTTTTTCCTCCCACCTTTGCAGCAAAAATAGTCTCAAAGCCAGGTCAGAGGAAGTCAAGTCTGTGTACTCCCCTAAGAAGTTTTTTAGAGATTCAAAATTGCAAGAAGCTTTTTGGTGGACTTTAGTTCAATCCTTTAATGAGTGCTCTGAGAGCACAGTAACCGATTTCCTGGCTTTGTGGTTAAACATGGTACAGTATAGTAGTTAAGTAAGATGTTGAACTTGAGAATCTCAGCAGATATAAGGTGAGCACTTACCTGAAATAAAACATTTTATGTATTTCATTTCAGAGAAACACCACCTAAGGATAAAACAAAAACTTATCAGTCCAGGCCCTGCTGACATAATACTTGCTATTTATCAAAAGTTACTGTGTGTTGTAAACTTTACTATGTGCTTTACCAAGATCATCTTATTTAATTTTCACTAAAACCTGGGCCTGGAAAGAGGATATTATTCTTTCCCACAGATGAAAAACCTGGGCCTAAGATTAAGTCTTGCTCAGGGTCATAAAATCAGAGAGCGGTAGAGTCACAGTGGGTAGAGATTTGAATCCCTGCTTGCCTAGATGCTCTTTATCACAATTTTTATCCTCTCTCTTGTAGACTTTGCCACAGATGAAGAGATGACTGTCAAGTGCATTTCTAGGGCAGTAACTGAAAACTGTGGTCAAATAGAGTAAAATTTGAAGTCTTAAATGCCCACATGCTGCTCTTCGGTAGCTCTGGCACTGAGCTCAGAAGAAAATCCTCTATTCCACTATGTCTCCACATTTCAGCAGCCCTTTTTTCTTTACTTTTGACTGAGAACCTCTTAGGGCAATCATTCCCAAAAGCATGGTCCGTGAACAAATTGTTTCAAAAACATGAAAAGCCTTTGTGGAAAATACAGACACCTGGCCCCCACTCTAGATGTACCGACACAGAATCTCTGGGAGGGGTGGCAACAAGAAACCCAGGAGATCTTTTTGCCTATTAAATTTTAGACTATTCATTGCCTTGCAGCAAAAGAGCTAGTGTAATCAGCAGGAGGTAAACTGAAAGCTAGCCTCCATAATAATCAGTCTGACGCTGGGTCAGATTGGTGTTAAGAAAAAGATAGGACAGAGATCTTGTGAGAAGGCATGGGGTCATAATATTGTTTTGCAGCTGGAAGAAATCTTGAAAATGGTCTATTCCAATGTTTTTCTAATAGTATTTTATGAAGCTTTAGGAGTTCTAAAATGGGATATGAGAAAAAAGGAGCGGCAGTCAGAGCTTAAAGTCTTAAAAAAATTACTGCAGAAGCTTTACTGGTAACCTGGAATTTTGTGTAAGACTGTACCTGAATACAGTTTTGCTGATTTAAACAAACAGAACAAATCTTGGCTGCAAAAGAGAAGAAAAAATTCTCAAGGCCCAGCATGCATCCCAAACTAATTAAATCAAACATATGCTAGTTTGTTCCAGATAACAGCATTTTTCCATACCAAGTGATTTCAATGTATAACCAAGAGTGAGAACCACGGTACCAATTTGCCTTGTGCTTCCTCATTTGAGATAAAAGAAAATTAAGACCCAAAGAATTTAAAGGCAATCAGGATTGAAACCAGCATCTTGACTTCTAGCTCACTATACTGTGTTCTCGCCACAATTCAGAATGAATTATTCCTCTAAAATTGAGGGCATATAAATCAAGATTATTATGTAACCTCACATTTACAGAGTTCTCTGGACATTTTTTTTTTAAGATTTTATTTATTTATTTGACAGGCAGAGATCACAAGTAGGCAGAGAGGCAGGCAGAGAGAGAAAGGAGGAAGCAGGCCCCTTGCTGAGCAGAGAGCCCAATGTGGGGCTCGATCCCAGGACCTGGGATCATGACCTGAGCTGAAGGCAGAGGCTTTAACCCACTGAGCCACCCAGGTGCCCCTCTCTGGACATTTAAAGAGTACTTTATATGTATTCTCTTTTTAGATTCTTATATACTGGGAAGTAGGCAGGGCAAAACTATATCTGTCTCAGAATGAGGAAAACAGAGGTCAGTTAAGATAACTCAAAGTGGCTTAGGAGTAGGTTAGAACCCTAACCCTAACTAATTAATCTTCTAACTTCTGGATTAAGTAAATCTAATTTGGCAAATGTTTGTGTGCCTAGTATGTGTTAAAACATGGTCAAAGATAAGACCTCATCCATGCCCTCAATTAGTGTACAATCTTTTTAGAAAAACAGAAATAACTAAAATCCTGTGCAGTCTGGCTTATCCCTTGGACTAGCAGAAGCTGAAAACACTGCCTGATTGGCCTTGATAACAAAATCCAATTCTCTTCAAATTTAGTCTGTGGCTTCTATTTTCTTTCTGACTATGGCAACTAATGTTAGGGAACTCAAAGGACTTGTATATAGCTATTGCATCTCTAGGCAAGGCCACGCAGCTGAAAAATGTCTTGAGAGGGGTAGAAAAGAAAGAAGAAGGGTGCAGTTT